TTTATCATGCGTAGTATCTTTTTACTATGTCTGCATTGGCGGGGTGAGGAAGGTCGTCACCATCCATGTTGGTTAGAATCATGGCTCCTCCTGAGAACACATGTTTAACCACAAATGGCTCTTCATATGTAGGGGTCCATTTGCCCCTTGGATCACTCTGAGGAAGAATGATGCGCTTGATTACCAGATCCCCAACTTGATATTCTTGTGGTCTGACCTTTTTGTTAAATGCCCTGATCATCCGTTTTTGATACGTCTGACCATGACAAATAGCAGCAAGTCTCTTTTCGTCGATTAAGTTTAGCTGATCAAGTCGTGTCTGGATCCAACATCTTCGCTCAGATCTGCATCCTTCATTATCCGGAGAGAGGGTATTTGCACTTCGATCAGTAAGACTGCCTCCATACCGTAGACCAAGGAGAAAGGAGTTGCCCCGGTTGACATCCTTGCTGAGGTACGGTACCCATGTAGAGCAAACGGTAACATCTCGTGCCAATCTTTATAGGTCACTGTCATCTTCTGCACAATTTTCTTGATATTCTTATTCGCTGCCTCTACAGCCCCATTCATCTTCGGCCGGTAAGGAGAAGAGTTGTTGTGCTGTATCTTGAACTGCTCGCAGAGCTCAGTGATCATCTTGTTATTGAGATTGGTACCGTTGTCCATAATGATCCTTTCCGGGACACCGTATCGACAGATCAGATTATGCCGAATGAACCGTGCCACAACATTCTTGGTTACAGTGGCGTAAGAAGCTGCTTCAACCCACTTCGTAAAGTAATCAATCGCTACAAGGATGAAGCAATGCCCGTTAGATGCCGTAGGTCTGATCTCGCCGATCATATCTATGCCCCACATTGCAAAAGGCCAAGGTGCTGTCAAGACATTCAGAGGAACTGGAGGAACATGCACCTTATCTGCATAAATCTGGCATTTATGACATGTCCGAGAGTGTTGGTAGCAGTCGGCTTCCATTGTGGACCAGAAATATCCTGCCCGAAGGATCTTCTTTGCCATAGTATGTCCACTGGAATGTGTCCCGAAGGTACCCTCATGCAGCTCTGCCATGATCCTTTCTGCTTCAGTTTTATCCACACAACGCAGTAAGGTCGAATCATGGTTTCGCTTGTACAGGATGCCGTTGCTAAGGAAGAACTTCGTTGCGAGCCTTCTCAGAAACTTTTTATCATTGACAGATGCACCTTCAGGGTATTCCCGAGCTTCCAGGTATCTTTTCACCTCATGGTACCAAGGCTTCTCAGTCACCAACTCAGTCTCAAGATCACAACAGTATGCCGGTTCGTCCAGTTTCCAGATAATGATCCGGGGAGCCTCATTGTCCCATTTGACTTTGAACATGGAAGACATCGTAGCTAACGCGTCCGCCAGCTGATTCTCCTCTCTCGGGAAATGTTCAAAGGTTATCTCTGTGAAATGGGGGATCATTGTCAACACACATTCTTTGTAAGGAATAAGATTTGGATGTTTCGTATCCCCCTCCCCTTTGATCTGATTGATCACGAGAGCGGAATCTCCGAAGACACTCAGAAACTTGATCCTTAAGTCGATCGCAGCTTGGAGACCCATGATGCATGCCTCATACTCCGCCATGTTGTTGGTGCAGTTGAAACATAGCCGGGCAGTAAGTGGAGTATGAGTGCCTTGAGGGGATATGATCACAACACCGATACCGTTACCCAAAGCATTGGAGGCTCCGTCAAAGTGCATAGACCATCGGGATCCTTCCTCAGGTCCTTCATCCGGTCCAGGTACTTCACAATCAGTCACCACCATGATACTCTCGTCTGGAAACTCGAAGTTCATTGACTGATAGTCGTCTACTGCCTGATGTGCCAAGTGGTCTGCCAATACACTTCCTTTGATGGATTTCTGAGTTGTGTACTGGATGTCGTATTCTGTCAAGATCATTTGCCATCTTGCTATTCTCCCAGACAGAGCAGGCTTTTCAAATATGTACTTTATTGGATCCATCTTTGAAATCAACAAGGTAGTGTGAGTCATCATATACTGTCTCAGCCGGCGAGCAGCCCATACCAAAGCGTAGCAAGTTTTCTCGAGCAGTGAGTATCGGGTCTCACAGTGGGTAAAATTTTTGCTAAGGTAATAAATGGCATGCTCTTTTCGGCCAGACTCGTCATACTGCCCCAGCACACACCCCATTGAGTTGTCAAGTACTGTCAGGTATAGTATCAGAGGTCTCCCTTCAACCGGCGGCATAAGAATGGGTGGTTCTTGGAGATACTCCTTGATTCTGTCAAAAGCAGCCTGACATTCATCATTCCAACGTACTACCTGATCTTTCTTCAGCAGCTTGAAGATTGGTTCACAGGTAGCAGTTAGATGCGAGATGAATCGAGCAATGTAATTCAGGCGTCCTAGAAAGCCTCTGACCTCTTTCTCTGTCTTGGGAACTGGCATCTCTTGAATGGCTTTAACCTTGGCAGGGTCCACTTGAATACCCTTATCACTTACAACGAAGCCTAGCAACTTTCCAGATCTTACCCCGAAGGTGCACTTGTTCGGGTTCAACCTCAGCTTGTACAGTTTCAGACGGTCAAACAGCTTCTGCAGATGGTCAAGGTGTTCCTCCTCAGTTTGGGACCTTGCAATCATGTCGTCGACATACACTTCTATCTCATGATGGATCATGTCATGAAATAAAGCAACCATGGCACGTTGGTAGGTTGCCCCAACATTCTTCAACCCGAATGGCATGACCTTGTAGCAGAAGGTGCCCCACTGAGTAACAAAGGTAGTCTTTTCCATGTCTTCAGGAGCCATCTTGATCTGATTATACCCTGAAAAATCATCCATGAAGGAAAACACCTTATGCTGAGCAGTATTGTCAACAAGGACATCAATGTGAGGTAGGGGGAAGTCATCCTTGGGGCTGGCCCTGTTCAGATCCCTGTAATCAACACACATTCTGACCTTGCCATCTTTCTTTGGCACCGGAACCACGTTGGCAACCCACTGAGGGTAAGAAGTCACTGCGAGAAACCCGGCATCAAATTGCTTCATAACCTCAACTTTGATCTTCTCGGACATCTCTAGACGCATACGACGAACCTTTTTCTTAACCGGAGGACATTCTTCCTTGGTAGGCAAATGATGGACCACAATGTCGGTGTCCAACCCAGGCATGTCTTCGTAAGACCAGGCAAATATCTCCATATAATCATGTAACATCTGAGTCAACCGTTGCTTCACGCTGAGCTCTAGGTTGGCACCAATCTTAACCTCTTTCCTGTCTGTCTCTGTACCCAGATTTATTGTTTCCACCGGCTCTTCATGTGGTTGAATTTCCCTCTCTTCCTGGAGTAACAGTCTTGCAAGCTCGCCAGGCACTTCGCAATCATCTTCACCTTCGTCTTCGTCTAAGTTGATCGGATTTTCGAAGTCATAACTGGCAGTAGCAGGGTCGTTACCAGTGAGATCCAGAGTGGATTGAAACCTGTACGGGTGAGTGTGTGTAAATACAGTTGTTTTGCAATATATATAAAGAAAGAAAGGGAGCGCAAGATTTGAAATGTGAAAAATGTCCAATGCTTTTATTCATGATATTGTTGTACCCCAATTTTTGACCTAAGATCCCATTTTTATTTTTGCATTTTTAAAGATAAGTCAAGGTCACGAAATACAGTCGGTTTTAATCTCTCACCTTCAAGCATTGACTATGCGAAGGTTGTCAAGTGTTTTGAACATTTTTAACCTATGTATCACTAATTTCTAATCCGTACAAAGGTGTATGTTCATGTTTTCTTTTGCTTCATGTGCAGAGACAGGTCTGAATCAAGAGCATCAGGTGTCGCGCCTCAATTAAGGTTTTGAGTCTCCCAAGCCAAAAGTACGGTTGATTATGGATTCTCGAAGACTGATACATCAAGGCACAACTGTTGCACCCTAAATTTCGCCCCTAATTTTTTTAGTCGCACTTTCATATCATATTTTGTTATTTGGTCATAATCATTTGTAAATATCTTCATTCATCACATTTTGCATCATTAGTCGTATTTAAGTTGACCAGAAAAAGTCAGTTTAAATCAAAGTTTGCATCGTCTTTCAGTTGTAAAATACCCGGCATTTTGCTTCATGCATTTTTATCTATTTACTCATTTGTTGCATTGCTCCAAGTTGTTTATATGTTGATAATATAAATATTTTGGTTTTATAGACAAACTGTTAAAAACGATTCAACAACGTGCGAAAATTAGTGAAAAAAATATTTCAAGTTTTCACCTTTTACTGATCATTTTATGAATCTGCGTTTCGCGTAGATTATGACGGTATGCTCGCTTTATTTTTTCGGTACAGTTCGAAGTCTCGTTTTTAACCTTAAACGTCTGTTTAGTCTGATATTTTTATTATTATTTTATTTTTGATTTTTGACTTCTTGAATATTTTTTCTTTAATCTTTGTGACATGTAGATTATTTTAATGTGTTCATTTTATTTTTTCGGATAAATTTTCGTCCGTTTTTTTATCGTTTTCGGTCATTTTGGGTCTTTATTTTTTTATTCAGAAAAATTCAAAAAAATTATTTTAAATTGAATTATTTTTTATACTTTCAGATTTTTATTTCATTTTTATCATTTAAGGTCATTTTTGTCATAAAAATAATTAATTACACTTTGCTTTTTTCTTATTGGTTGATAGCAATAGTTGTGGATTAATACAAATTGAGTTTATTTTGAACGGATGAGATTAATTATTGAAATCAATTTTCTTCTTCACTTTTGCTATTTAAAGAGAACTATCTCTCTTTTGTAAACACACACAAAAACAAAACAACACAGTAGCATACCAATTATCTTTCTCCAACTCATAAATCCAAACTTTTTTCTTTTTTTCTTTTTAATTTTTAATTACTCTAATAAATATATACTGCTACGGTGCTACCTAATTTTCATTCTTACTGTTTTGATTATATTTTATATATTGCCAATTTTTCTTCCACCAACGTTTCAAGCATCAAACCAATGGCGTCTGATCCTGAACAACCTCCACTTTCCTCTTTCTCAAAGGAAGGAAAGCCACCCGCGGGGGTTACAACTGAAAGGGAGCCTCTGCTTAATGGGTTACATGCCTCTCAAAACTATTCCATCACTGCTGCAATTCTCCCATTTCTCTTCCCAGCTTTTGGTGGTCTGCTATTTGGCTACGACATTGGTGCCACATCTAGTGCAACAATCTCCATCCAGTCACCATCACAAAGTGGAATAATTTGGTATAACTTAGACTCTATTCAAGTTGGACTTCTTACTAATGAATATAAAGCTTTTATTTATTTATTGAATGATATAAAGCTGTTAGTTATTATTTTCTTTTAAAAAAAAAATATAAAAAAAATATTAGTAAATCTTATATTTAGACTTAGTTTAGTATTAATTTAGAATTTTTTAATTAGTTTAGATGTATCTTATAACTTTAAAATATTTAGAATCATAATTAATAACTTTAGAATTTTAATTTAATTAGATATAAATTAGTAATGTTAGAACCTTTAATTAGTTTAGGTATATTTTGATAACTTAAAAATTTTAATTTGTTTAGATCTATTTTATAACTTTAGAACTTCCAATTAGTTTAGATACATTTTGATAACTTTAGAATTTAAATTTAATCTTAGAATTTTAATCTTTAATTTAGAATTAATTTAGTTTTGATTTAAGTTAGTAATTTTATTATTAATATAGTTTAGATTAACTTAGTAATTTTATAATGAATTTAGTTTATACTTAAACTAGTTTAGATGTAATTTAGCAACTTTAGAATTAATTTAGTTTAGACCTAATTCAATAATATTAGAGTGTTAATTTATTTTAGATTTAATTTAATAACTTTCGAATTTTTGTTAGTAACTTTAGAGTTTTAATTTAGTTAATAACTTCAAAATTTTATTTAATTTAGTTAGACACTTTAAAATTTAAGTTTAGCTTACTTAGTAACCTTAGAATTTCAAATTAGTTTAGATAATTTTTTTAATTACATTTTTCTTTTATTCATGATTCTTCTTTGTCTTTTCATTTAGTTTCTTACAATTTATGTCCTTCTCTACCTTGTTCGTTTCTCGTGGATTTTAATTATTTATGCTTTCTTACTCGAATATTAGATCTACTTGCTTATGATTAACTCCAAGGAAAAGATTTAAATTTATTGACTTCACGTCATCAAATACATCTCATCCAATCGTGCGAATACCCTCATCCATCTTTTGTCTATTTACTATTTTGTTAAACTCAAGATAATTTCCCCAAAAGACTCCATTTTCAAACTCACACCTTTTAAGTCAAAACTTCGACACTAGGTCGTCGTATCTTCAAAATCTCTCCAACACCGATTTTTAGCCAAACGAACCATTTTAATCAAACAAACAATTTTAACGAAAAACATATATTTCAAAAGGTTCCTGCGGAGTACCGCAGATGCATTGGGTGCTAATACCTTCCCATTGTATAACCAACCCCCCGAACTCTCGATCTCTTTTCAAAACGCATTGTATTTTCATTACTTTTAAGTATTATTATACATTGCATATTTTAGGGTTTTATTTCGCTCTTTTCCCTTTTCCCTTGGAAATAATAAAGCGCGGTGGCGACTCTTGCTTTTGCGAGTCAAGTTAATTAATAGCTTGATCTCCGATTTTCACCGCTACAGAATTGGCGACTCTGCTGGGGAAAGATTGACCTCTTGCTGGTCCATTCCTAAGTGGGTTAAGCCTAATTTGTTTTATCTGTTTTATCATTATTTGATTGTTTGATTATATGTATATATTATGATTATTTGGGTGTTGATAATATTTACAAAGGACAAGTCCTATACCCGGACTAAGTTACACTTAGGAATAGGACGTGCGGTATAGTCATGTTAACTTTGAGGGAGTAATCCCGAAGAAGGAGGCATGAGATCCCCCACTCAGTGGAAGGCCCTTTTGAACGTAATATTTGTTTACCGAGTAATCGGGAAGACATTATTATTTTTGACCTGGGAGCCAGAGAAGTTGGGAACCGTAGAACCCTTAACCCACCTTGGCCTTTTAGGTGTAGCGCGAAGATTATAACGGAGTAATCCGGAAGTAATTGTTACGCGATGCTACGCTCGGATGAGTTTCTCTTGAGAATATTGCTGATTATTGAGTAATCAAGACGTTGGTAATATCCGAAGGAGGAATGTAGACTCCGGGAACTCTTAGAACCTTGTTCTACAGGTGTGATTAAACCGTTAGTACATACCTTGGGGGTGTTCCTTACCTTGAATCCATGCTCGTGACGTTGAACCTTTCGACTTTATTTGTAACCTTGCTTGTGGTTGTTGCATATCCATGCATTCATGCATCCATAAAACCCTTTTCACTTGACTTTGAAGGAATTTGGAGGTCTTTCTTTGTAAACATCACAAGTTTCGTCAAGCTCAATGGATCTTGGGTGTTGATAGGGCGAAAACCCTAATCCACCAAAATGGATGATTGATCTTGATGATAACTTGATCAATGTTTGGAGCCAATTTAAAATTCATCTTCTATCTTCATACTTTGATGTTTACAACTTAATATCTTGAGTTCCTTGAAAGTCAAATAAATACTCTCTTTTGCATATCATGAATCCTTCTACATTTTTTGTTTCATTTTCAAAGGTCATTTCCAAGTCTTATTTTTTCCTTCGGTCTCACCAGTACAACACTCGCGCTAAGAGAACAATGGAGAATATCAAGCAAGAGGTTTCTGAACTCCGTAGAGAGATGACTATTTTGAAAGCTAGTGTGGAGCACTTAACTGGCTTGGTTGAAATTTTGGTTGCCGCCCAAGTCAATCCTTCTAGGAGGGAGGAAGCGATGATAAAAGTATTCACTGAAACTCTAAAACCATTCTCTCATGAGAAGGTGATGGTTAATGCACCTAATGACTTTCCTGACGAGGTGAATGTGGGAGTGCGTCTAGAAGAAGATGTTGGGAAGGGATGTTCATATGAAGATGGTAGCTCAGCTAATGGTGTGAAGAAGTTTGATAATAACTTTTCCAAGAAGAGAACCATAGGAAGAAATAATCATCATCAAAATCATCATGTTTCTCCTATTCATCAACAGAATCAGCAAGTCCCTAATCAGAGGAAAACCCAATTTGATCCAATTCCAATTACCCGTACAGAGTTGTTCCCTATCCTGATGCAGAGAAAGTTGGTTCAGACCCGACCTCCACCGAAGGTTCCTGAGAAGATACATTGGTACTACAAAGCTGATTTGACTTGTACCTTTCATCAAGGTGTTCCTGGGCATGACTTGGAGGGTTGCTTTGCTTTGAAGATTGAGGTTCAGAAGTTGGTCAGAAGTGGTATCTTGTCATTCAAGGACGTTGGTTTTGAAGTTCAAATCAAGCATGCGCCGAAGAGTAAACACGATTGATAGTGACTTTGATTTTTGAAGGATGTTTTCGGTAATTCAAGTCCAGATGGAAAGCCTTCCCAGATTATTAACTTATTTATGCTTTTTGTAATTTTTCTTGTTTATCAAAACATTGTTTGCATGTAAGAACTTATTTGCATCTGAATGATTATCTTAATACAATGAGTATGTTTGTCTTGAAGAAATTCATTCGTTTCACTCATATTTGTTTTCAAATTTTAAATTGCTTTTTCACTATGATACCAAATTGTTGCTCATTCTCTTGCCTAGGAAGAGGTTGAGGGGAGGATGATGATCTAAAGAACACAAAATCTCTGGTTGTTTGCTTTTGGATAAAATCTTGCTGATGATGTACATGCATTGTTTCAAATCCCTAAACACCGGAGATATAAGGAAGATAATCCCTTGCTAACCCCTTTTGAGCCTTTGAAGCAGAAGTTTCTTTTCTATACGAAAAACCTTGAATTTTAACCCGGGGTAGGGTAGTTTTTAGTTAATCTGACTGAGTGTTCAAAATTCATAAGGAAGTTGTTTTTTGAAGAGAAACTACGAGGGCTATCCTTCATGTATAATGAATCTAGAGGATGTGGAACCACAATGTTATCCCTCATTCATCAAGAAACGAGGCAATCACAATCCTCTCAACAAGCAAAGACAAGTTAATGTCACACATTTTGTTCAAAAAGTCAAAAATCAAGAAAAAGAAAAGCCTGCTAAGTCAAAAAAAAAACATGAAAACGTGTGACTTAGGCAAAATTAAGGCATCCCGCTGGACTATCAATTCAAAAGAATTAGTTCAGGCAAAAGTTAGGGAAAATAAAAAATTGCAAAGAAAAGGACTGCAAAGAAAAGTCCTCAGCAAAGAACAAATTGGTGACTACAAACACGAAGACATGAGGGTGGTTTCTACTCCGAAAGCCTCGTCGTTTCCTTGACCGTCACAAAATCCTTTTGAGAGATGAACGCTCATGTTGAATTAACTGAACATAGGATTGGAGAACATCATGAAGGGGGTGGGCACCAAATATTTTGAGCCTTAAATCTTTTTTTCTAAAAAAACCGTGAACCAGGCCACGTTACAACCTTCAAAAGTCCTAATTGAAGCAAGGTTATTTTGAAAGCATACTTCAATGAGATAGTGTTCCTGACTCCCATGAATGTTCTAAATAGTTATGTTGGTATCATATGTTTTTCCTATACAAAAATAAATGATGCTTTAGCTCGCAAAATTTGTGCGATACCTTTCAAAATCTTCAAGACTTACATAACTGTTGCATTAGAATTTTCATTCTCATTGTAAACTTTTTCTAACTGCAAAACATTTGTTCGATATCAAGGAACCTCACATAAGCACCAGTGATGAGTTCATTCTTTTAAGGCCTGAAACTATGTTGAGTAATTGGAGAATCATTTCAAAAAATCATATCCATGGGCATGTCACCTGAAGACCGTAAGCACGAACATGTTGCTTCTCCCAGTTAATGCTTTTCCCAACTTGTTTGCTCGTTTGGGGAAAAATTTCGAAGACTTTGTTGTGCCGACTACAGTCAATCCGGGGCAACCACGTCGAGATTTGATGAATCTCTTTAAGAGTTTGAAGACACCGGAGCATGGTGAATGCTAGGTCTTTTGTAAAATCCTCTTGAGACGATTTCTCCTCATCAACCCTATAGCTTGGGGCATTTTAGAAGTGAAGTTATTCGCAAGAATTGTCGTGCAGCATGCAACTTATCAGCAGTAAACTTGGGGCATCCAAAATTAATCCCAGGGGCAATCCAGATTTGTCAAGATATGTTTTTCATACATTATCAGAGGGTGGTGTTCCCAGTATCTCCAGCTAAGCAAGACTTCTTTCCAGCTGAAACTTTGTTTGTGTTGTTATCCTTTCAATGGATTGTTTGCAATAGAAGACTAGA